AAAGGACCTGGGGGTTACAGTGGACAATAAGCTGAATATGAGCCAGCACTGTGCCCTTGTTACCAAGAAGACTAATGGCATACTGGGTTGCATTGGTAAGTGGGCTGCCAGTAGGTCAAGGGAAGTGATTATTCCCCTCTATTCAGCACTGCTGAGGCCACATCTAGAATGCTATGTTCAATTTTGCCTCCCCTCCCCCTCCTGCCCGCCCATACACGCCCACTCTACAGAAAGGATGTGGACAAACTGCAGAGTCCAGAGGAGGGCAACAAAAATGGGGGTGGGGGGAGGCTAGGGGACAAGACTTATGAGGAAAGACTGAAGGAATTGGGCTTATTTAGTCTAGAGCAGAGGAGACTGAGAGGGGACTTAATAGCAGCCTTCAACTACCTGAAGAAGGGTTCAAAAGAGGATGGAGCTAGACTATTCTCAGTGGTGGCACATGACAGAACAAGGAGCAATGGTCTCAAATTGCAGCAGGGAAAGTTTAGGTTATATATTAGAAAGACTTCTCACAAGGACAGTAGCAAAACACTGCAAATACTGCAATAAGTTACCTAGATAGGTGGTAGAAGTTCCATCCTTGGAGGTTTTTAAAACCTGGCTAGATAAAGCTTTGGTTGGTATGATCTAGCTGGGGATGGTTCTGCTTTGAGCAGGAGGTTGGACTAGACGACCTCCTGAGGTCCCTTCTAACCCTAACTTTCTATGAGTCTATTAGTCGGTGATTGAGAGATGACTTGATTGCAATATATAAGTATCTTCTCAGGGAGGAAAAATCATATACCAGAAAGCTCTTTAGTCCAGTAGAGAAGGTACAAGAAAAAGCAGCTGGAGCCAGAAAATTCCAATAAGGTACACATTTTTAATGACGTTTTAATGGTTTTATTGGAAAAATTATCAAGGGGAGAGAAGATAATCTGTTTCTTGATGTCTTCATATGAAGACTGGATGCTTTTTGGACGATGTACTTTAGCACAATCAGGTTATTAATCACAGTATAGGGTTAACATGATTAAATGCAATGACCTGCATTATACAGGAAGTCAGACTAGGTAATCCAATGATCCATTTGGACCTTAAATTCTTGAGGAAGAAGCCACCTGGTATGGCAAACATGGTGAATCTTTTAACAGAACGAACCATAGGTTCATAACAAACAGAAGAAACACAGTTCATTTCTACAATCTCTGTACTGCGCAAAACCGTAGTGTGGATGAACTGAACCAACTTCCCCGAGTCAGGCGTCATTGCATTGACCAGTTAGTAAACTGGGCTGTTGAGTCCCCTCTACATATGAATAAAAAAGAATACCACTCAGTGCCTATGGATAGGAGAGATGCATCTGGTCAGGGCCTGCTCCACAGAAAAGGCCTCAGACTGTGCCTGTCCATGTTCTCATTAGTACTGTGTATGGTGCTGCCTAGCCCACATAGTTAGCAATGTTCTTCTACACAGATTTACCTCCCTCTCTCCAGCTTATCTGATTCCTAAATACATCCCGACAAACAGCAAGTCCATGGTTATGACAACCAAGCAATATCAGTGTGAGCCTGGTGGCAAAGCCATGCTGCTAGCCAGCATGTCCACAGATGGCATGCGAGTAGGCAGGCACACTCACTCCCTTTCATCCTGCTAGGATCACTGGGACCTCTGCCTCATCCAGGGAAAAGCTCACTGCACCTTATTTTACTGCTATGTAAGCTTACAGCGCATTAATAGCATGTGGAGATGCACCCACTGTGAAGACTTCCATTGACTTTAATAAGGATCTTCACTACAGAAAGTTAGGGCCTTGTTAGATGTTGCACTTTGAGCTGCTCGAATGTTGAACAGTGTGTGCGCTACCTCAAGTTTGGAGCAGTCACACCTTAAGGCCAAAAACTGTCTCTGACTGTCCCTGACCTGCACAGCTGTGACTTGCCATGAGACGGCTACTGGGCAGGGGTCTGACTAAGAGCCACAGCTGTGACTTGTCCCGCACAGGGCAGCTGAGCCAGGACAGGCATCTATCCCAGCTCCATGTGAGGGTATGCAAGACAGTTGGCTTGATCCCAAAACTTCCCCATGGGCAGTAAGGTTCTAAGGGTGGAAAGCTTGTCCACACAGAATAGGAGGGTGGAGGAGGGGATACTGCATCCTGGCATGCTGGAGTACTGCAACTTGGGTGG